ACCATCTAATGTTGCTCCAATTTTCTCAGCTGTAATTAATTCTACTGCATCCTTTGTAGTGGAAATACAGCCATGAACAGTACGTATTGACTTACTTTTGAAGATGATGCTGTATTGACCTGGGTCTGGACACATTTGTTCCGTAGAATGATTGGAAGCTTATATTTACCAGGATTTATAGTGTCATATTCAAAATCTTGTTTACTAACTTATAATTCAATTTGTTGGCCAGGCTAGGCAATCACTTATTGTAAGATGTCTCTTTCCCATACTTGCCGATCCTCGACATCCTGTAAGTCAATTGTTTCACGACTCTATTTGCATTATTATTATTATTATGCATTGTTCTTTTGGGGGAAGGAAATGGAAATGACTGCTGAATTTTGATCAAGCTTAAAAAGTATCTGTAGTATCGGGGTTGGGTATTTCAGTTTACCTTCAATTCAATTAATCGTGACTCCCGAGCTCCTTGAGTCCTGGTATTTCCATTAGGTAGATCTAGAAATGAGTTTTATATTTTTATGTAGTAGTCAACTTCATGGCTACGGTGTGAAACGTAAGCTACAATCTGCTTGACTAATATACATGCTGAATTACTATGACCCCATCACTTAAGGATCGGAGACTTACCAGACTTGATCTAATACTCTGCCTGCAGGCCGAATCAACTAGTGCCTCAAACGAATCTATTCTAAAGGTTGCCCTTGATCATGGAAAAACTGCTGGGGTTATAAAGTCGCACGATCGTGTAGTTGTTTGCCAGAAAGTTGGTGATTCATCTGTGGTTAAGATTATCGAGCTTGAAGATTAAGTGTTGCATTGATCTAACTACAGTACAAGCATTTTGTTTTTTGGTCTACTAAGATTTTGGCAGTGGCAGATCATTCAGCTTCCACTTTTTGAGTTGTCTCCACCGGGTTTGATGACTAGTTTATATTTTTGTGATTGAAGCTGAATGTTAGAATAGTTATATGATAGTCTGTCATAGTTAAAAATAAGAGGAAATATGCCCTGATGCCAAATATTTTTTATCAAAGTTTTACTCAAGGACAATTTGAAAGGAAGAGTAGTCGTCTTACTGTTGTCAGCTGTATGAATGAGTCTAATCATGAACTATTTTACCCCCGAAGTATGTTCTTAAACTCTTTTGTTTTTAAAATCGTCAGTGAACTATTTTGTTTTAAAAAAACAGAAGGAAAACCACAAATATGTAATTTATAACTAATTCTTTTTTCAACATTATACCTGCTCATTTTCTTATAGGAAAGTTAATTTATTGCATCAAACGAAATTGATCATCTTAAAATAGTGTTCAATAAACTTATCCAAACAAACAAAATCTATTCATAATTAATTATCGAAATAATTTAATCTCGTAATTATTCCAGACTTACCTTTGTTATGTACTTTTTAATCTTAGAAGACATTTGGTATTAATTTAAATTTTCATTTACCTTGAATTTACGTTGGTTTTCATCTTAATAATTTAATACATTGTGCAATATTCTCAAATGTGCAAAATCATCGCTTTTGACGAGGGACAATATGTTTTAAGGTATGAACTACTATCTTTAAACGTTTAATAATTCAATTTAAAAAACATTGGCCCGAGGAATATCTGAATCGTTAAATTGTTGATATTAGAACTGTTAGGTTCCTAGATTGGGAACCTAATTCCAGTACTCTATTCCTCTCCAAGAAACACAAAAAAGATTGGGAATCTGTATATTATTTACAATATCGTATCTATATAATTGTTCTCTATTTATACAACCTCTCCCGCCCATTCTTAATTGTCCTAAGCGAAAATTAGTTTTTAAATTTATTTTATTAAAAAAAAAGAATTGAATCTTTATAATAACAAGCGCTCGTGGCCTAATGGATAAGGCGCTTGACTTCTAATCAAGCGATTGTGGGTTCGAGTCCCACCGGGCGTGTGTTATTATTTTTTTATTTCTAAAACTATTTTTCAAGCACATGTTGAGCCATAACTGGCAAAATGCTCAATAACACTTTGCTTTCTCCTTCTCTTCCCATTCCTTTTTTTTTCCAATGAACAACTTCAGTTTACAGAAGTTTAATTTTCTCCCTCAAAACTCATATGTGAGTGGAAACTTTATTCAAAACAGAAAAGCAAGAACGCAAAAATTGTCTACAAACAAGCAAGCATACTACATGTTTCGAAATTACTTGGAATGATTACCACAGAAAATGAAGAATCTCCAAGTCTACATATGCTCTTATACTAATTTCAACTACCATACATAAAAATAGACAGTAATTTCTTCAATTCTAGGTAGAAGAATGCTGCTGTTGATGCTGCTGCTGTTGATGAACATTAACCAATTCAAGCTCCTTCTGGCGAATTAGCAAGACCATTCTCTCTATTTCCAGCCTCCTCCGTTGATTCTGAAGCTTATCTCTCTCCATTTCCCTCTCCTTCTTGCTGCTAAACCTGGCCCACTTCAACCGTTGCTTTTCCAATTCAAACGCCTGCATTTGATAACTCACCTGCTGCTCCTCCAACTGCACCACCCTCTTCTTCATCCAATGTTTTTTCTCCCATGCACTCTTCCCCACATCTTGCAACACACCGCTCACTTCGCCATTCAATTGCTGCATCATCGCCTGAGATGATATCGATGATGATGATGACAACCCACCAAACCCTCCTTTCCTCGCTCTCTTCCTCATCACATCATTCTCATCCTCCTCCATACCCCTTGATGCTCCTTCTCCCGATTCCTCTTCCTCCTCATCAGAAAAATCCTCCGAATCCTCTTCCTCATTATCCTCCTCCTCATCCTCTTTCAACATTCTCAGACCCCCCACCCCGTTCTCCGATGAATGCAAACACCGCTGCTGTTGATGTTGATGTTGATGTTGTGGTTGAGCCTCACTTGATTGTTGCACGTTCGAAGTGCCACAGTTGTTGTTGTGGCCACAACTGTTGTGATAGGTACACATTTCCCTGAAGAACAAGTGCTTGGAGTTGAGCAGTTTTCGAACTTCCTCCTTCATTTTTGGGGACAGATCCATGGTGTCCAACAATGTTTGGTTCTCCACCACCCGACAAGCTGTGCCCTTGCCCAGAATGTCGTTGACCCTCTTGTACCTCTTATTCAAGTCATTGAATTTGTCTTCGCATTGTTGGGGAGATACATAGTACCCCTTTTCCATCATGCCCCTTGACACCGATTTCCATTTCCCTTTCTTCTGCAGCAAACCCGTGACTTTCTTCTTGGTGGGATCAGCGCCTTCTGAACCAGCCTCGTCTCCAATGTAATAAACAGCCATTATTAAGAGTCTTACCATGGTGTCAGTCCACTTCATTCTATGCCATGGAGACATTTTTCTCTTGGGATCACCGGAGTCTTCTGCTGTGAACCCAGGCTCATCTTCATCACTGAGTGTGATTTGTAACTTGTTGGTTTTACCCACGGAATAGTTGTAGCCATGTTTGATTGATTGTGGTGGGTGTTGCTGATGTGTGTCAGTGTCATGGTGCGAAGCATAGGAAACCATTTGGGGGTGGTGCAAAGAGTGTGGAGGGTTTTGCTGGTTTTGAAGGTTTTCTACTCCTAACAAACCGCTACTTATGTTAGGAAATATTCCACCCCCTAATGCATTGGGTTCCATCAACTCCTCAATATATACACCAGTTTGCGGATATTTATGAAAATCACCAATCCCACTCAATATTTGTGGAAATTTACAATGAAATTGGAGTTAGAACAATTCAAAATTCAAAAGGGGTGAAAAGAAATTTGACTAAAGCACTCAGGTTTTGAGAAATAGTTAGATCGACGTAGTGTAATCAACATCATAACGCACGTTCACCTTACCAATAAATCGCTTGGCGTGTAGAAAATGAAATGAAATGTGCTTCCACAAAGACCTGGTGCATGTTATTTTTCCTCAGCATTTTAAAGACTATGCAGAAGTCAATGGTGAAGAGGAAAAGAAAAAAGGGCCGAGATGGTATTGTACGAAAGATGATTATGCAGAAGCATGGGTGGGTAGAAGGAAGAAAGAGAATGATGGATATATAGATTATAACATGTAGCATATGGTAATAAGATAATAGAGATAAAATACAAAGGGTGAAGCAGCTGGTTATGCTACAGCAGTGAGAGAAAACTGCCCATGGTTTTGTTGGCGCTTTGAAAAACATAACCCACAGGTTTTGTGCTAAATGGGCTGGTCCACGTCCACTTAAACTCTTGTTTCAAACCAGACACTAGATTCTGCATAAGTGTTTATGCTTATTATTAGTCTATTCAGAGATCTAAAACAAAACAAATATCACTTTTCTATAACTCTCAAACATAATTTTTTCTCAACTTTAGTTTATAAATACTTTTTCTTCTGTCATCAAAATTAATAACATCTTCAATGATTTATTTTAGTTTAAATATTTTTCCTTTTAGCTTTTTTCTCATTAAGTTTATAATGTATTATATATTTGCTAACAAAAATATATATATTATGTATTATATTTACATACTTTTTTCCCACTTGTGTATAATTTAAAGCAACTAATATATTATTAATATATATATATATATATATATATATA